TCCACTCCACTCCACTCCACTCCACTCCACTCCACTCCACTCCACTCACAACTCGACATCTCAACTCACACCAACTCATCTCACACAAACACGTGCACCGGAGGCCTTGGGCTTCCGCCGGGCCATCAACCGGCGCCGGGACTTCTACGCAGACATCGCCCACAACACCGTGCCCCAGTTCCACGTCCGGGAACCTGGGCGAAGCGCAGAAGGAGGGACCACGGCCGTGGCGAAGGAAGCGCGGCGCCACGAAGGAGAAACGAAAGACATCCAAATGACGTGGGTCAAATGGGAGAGCAACGTCGTGTTCACACGAGTCGTGCAGCGTGCACAAAGACTCCGAAGTGGTGGGGTTTTCAGGACCAATCATGAACCAAGGACCGCTAGTCTTCAGTTTGAGGGCCCTCAAATCGATAGTGTGGTTCCGGTACTGGAAGCAGCACCCTCTATAGGCAGATTGATGTTTAAGATGTGGCAGTTCTTGCGAGCTGATGGGGGAAATCCACCATTAAATTAATTACTTTACTTCGAGAATCCCTACCATGACATGTCAATCATTTGTTTTCATGCGGTCAGGGGCATGTTTGCCATGGTCGTGGTGTTTGGTGGTTTTCGATTTTGCTTGTGGGTCCTCGGGTTTGGGATTGTTATTTCAATGTTAAGGAGTTCGTGTGTTTTTGCTGTTGTGTAGTTGTGATTGTGTTTCTGCTTGTGTTTGTGGTTGTGTGTTTATTGTTGTGTGTTTCTGGCTGTGTGTTTGCGGCTGTGTCTTTGTGATTGTGTTTGTGGTTGTATGTTGTTGGTTCAGGCCCGAGACTGCCCGCTGCGATCTGGCGCTTGCAGCTTTAGCTTAGTTGCAGTACTGCATTCTGCGGCCGCAGTCATCTCCAAGCCTACCCAAACATTACATAATACATGCATTACGCAAGGCTCCGCATGCAGGTGGGTTTCCAAATTGGTTGTAGTCGGCGTCATTTTCGTTTGGTGTGAGCCATCCGTGAGGTGTGCCGGGCCATGACACGAGCCATTGTTGCATCGGTGTTGGAGGAGACGACATGGGCGGAAGAGTGGTAGGACAACTTGTTTATTACCGATCAGGAAAGTTGGTAAAAGGACTCTAGAGCCCAACATGGCACCAGGCCTGTTCATGGGTTGGAGGATATGTCACAAAACTTGTCACAAAACTCCACATCCTGCGCGCAGACCTGCAGCCAGCAAAGGTGGCCAGTTTGTTGAAGAACTGCAGAAATTGGTAGAGTTGGGCCTTCTTGCACCAACTCACCAAGAAAAAGATGATTATTCGGGATTTGTTGAATCGACTTCAACAAGGAATCCCGCGAAAACCATACAAACAATGATGCAGTGGGCCCTGCCCAAAAGCTGAGGCGAATAAATGCAGGAAGGATGCAGCCACACCAGCACAACCAGAGACCCAGCAAGATGCTGCCAATTAGAAATCATTCTGCATGTATACTGCCCACTGGGATCTGGCGCTTGCTGTTGAGTGTTTACTGCGATCTGGCACTTGCGGTTGAGGTCCGGCACTGCCCACTGCGATCTGGCGCTTGCTGTTCAGGTCCGGCGATCGGAAGGACGGAAGGAACGAAGGAAGGAAGGAAAAGACTGTCTTTAAAAAATCAATCAACCCTCACCTGACAAGTGGGGAAAAACATCTTTGCTTGTGTGCATGAGGGAATGTGTTTGTGTTACATCGTTACGTTGTTCAGGCGTCGAGCGCTTGCAAAAAGGAACTGCTGCGCGCGTCCATTTTGGGAACATACACTGAGACCACACGGCGCCGTTTTTACATGCTCCAGGCTCGCCAGCGTTGCTACTTGCAGCTACGCAGCTTGCGCCCGTGGAAGGCTGGGAACATTCCTGCTATGTTGCAAACTCAGTGTGCAGGACATGGAGCAAAAGCAGGAACGGTTGTGTCGAGAGGGCAGTCTGGGTTACTACTTCACCGTCAAGGTGAAGAGGCACCGCAAACAGTATCGATGAACCACTGCGAGCTTGCCGCTGTAGACGCAATTCGCCCGATTCCCGGCTACCACGAGGTAGCAGCAAGCAAATGATGTGTCCCGAGGCCGCAGGGCTGAGGGAACTCATGAAAAAGCCGGGAAGAGAGAGGTTTCTCGTGTTTTCCTGCATTTTCGAAGGTCAGCTTCCACGTGCGTACCAAGGAGGGACCACCCAGGACAGCGAGAGTCGCGAGCACGAAGAGGAAGAGGCCGAGGAGTTGGGTTTTTCAGTGGATGGAACCTCCGCAGCAGATTCACCTGTTTTTGGATGGGTCTGAGCATGATGGGCGTGTTGGAGCTGCTGCTGCTATTTGGGTATAGGCGGGCATATATGGTTTTGGGCAGGGGCCTTGCAACATCGAGTGGAGACCTTGCGTGGCTCTTTCTATGCTGAGACAATGGCTCACATCATGGCGACCAAGTGGCTCCATGATGTTCTCCGCACAAGGGGTCCTCAGTGGTCCTCTCCACCGCATGTGGTCTTTCACTATGATGCCACTGCTGCAGCGGGCGTTGCCATGGGATGGCGCGGTACCACCGACCCCCTCTGTATGAAGGCAAGGGCATTGCACCAATCGCTCCTCAGGGGTCAGAAATAGGGGTGTAGCGAGATTCGGGGAGATTCAAAAGTTCTACTTTGTATTGCGTTTTGTTGGATGTTTGTTTTTGAAAAGCCAGTATCTTGATGTGTTTTGCCATGGTCTCGTGAAGAAACCATGTGGCACTTGGATTGATGAGTGCCACCCCGTACCATCGTTTTGTACGAATTGCAGTTGTCCTTGACGAGCAGTGGCAGCATCAGCTGTCTTCTTGAAGGATGCGGCACTCGCCGCATGGAGCGACACGAGGTCGACGGCCATTGGCGGCCATTGCCGCAGATTGTTACCGTAGCTACCATTAATCCAAAGATGGGAGTGCCATAGAGCGAGAATTCTAGGCGGCTCATGAAACAGAATGAAACAGCCACGGTGTATGCCTGCCTCAGAGAGACTAACCATCATTCCTTCTAATTAGATGGGTGTCAGTCGAAAGGTTTCGTGTTCGCGTATCTTCCACCTCAAGTGGCGGAAAAACCTTGGTCCCAAAGAAATGAGTCTCGTCCCCCCTTATCCACACACACGCAAGTGCCGGGCGTGTGCGGAGGTCTTGTTGACGAATCCGCCCTACAGCGGCGATCACAAGGCGTGCGCGCGCCTGCGCGCTATCACGGGGTGAACAGCTGGGCACTGAAGAGACCAAGCCGGTCCAAGGTAGTTTCAATGCACCCTTCCCAAGCTGTTTCCCATGAAAAGGGCACATGGAAGCTAATTTTTTTGGCCGTTTTACCAGGTATAGGCTATAGGTAACAGGTACCCGGTGTTATGCTAGTTTGTGATAGGGTTGGTTCTTGGGTGGTTCATCAATCTGCAGGCTCTGAAAAGCCTGTTTTCATCCAAGGTGTGTGGTCTTGTGACATTTATGTTGATTTGGTGGCACTGCTGTGCAAGTGGAATTTCCTAGTATAGTATATATAATTGTTGTTTTTGTTTTGTTCTTTTGTTTGACACGACGCCCGTCTTTGCAGGGTTTTCACTTCAAATTTCGTCTACTCCATACAAGTAAGTACGGTCAAGAAAAGTTGATAGATGTTGCAAAAGGTGCAAAGCAGCAGAATCATGGTGCCACTGCAGGGGGGTTGTTCATGTGCTGGAGATGCAGTGGCTGGGCTGATGTCGCTTACTGTTGTCTTCCGTGTTCTGGGCAGATCAGCTACAGTGGTTTCAGAGTAGATGGCACAATCCCCAACGTGTTTTTTTTGTGCGATCTACTCTGAAAACAAGTGTAATAGAAGATGTATGAGAATCTCCAAGGACCAAACACTTGATCTGCTCCAGACTCCAAACCGTTGGTCCTAGTGAGAAGAAGTATTCTCCGGGAAAGACCATGTTTTTTGGGGGGGCTGCAAGTGAATCACAGAAACTCAAGTCTTCGTGTAGCAGAAAGTACTGTGTGGGCAACCCTTTTGTGGTCGATGTGAATCAACCTAGCTAGCCAGCGGATAACCGTTAGTTCTTTTTTTCTGGAGTGGTTTACTCACTACAAACCGCTAAATACGAACAAGTGGAACAAAGTAACCAGTATGTTCAACGGAATTTGAGGGGGTCAATCAACCAACGTTGGGATTTGTCCACCCGTTGATCTGCGAGTTGCACGGCCGACCAGCTATGGCACCTTTGTCGTTTGGTGTGTCAACGGTTGTTCCGTCCCCACGTGTGAACCCCAAGGCATGTGGACCCCAAGATGTGTTTCACATGGTTTGGGGGGGCTCCGAACATACCAATCCAGTCCATAAGCACGAACACTTATTTTAGAGGAAGGCCTGCAAGTGAAGCATCATCGAATGTTACAGGGAATTGGATATACTCAAAACATGGTATTCATATGTGTTCATCCTTCCCTTTTTTTGTGAAGCCTTGAGGCTTCTACTATGAAAGCTTGACAACCGAGACGTGGGTGTGATCGGGGGGGGCCACATGGCTGTGGCTCAAGAGATAGGACCTAGGGACAGGAACCCACAGGCTCTTTGCATCTTATCCATGTACTATAGTAAGGCTCTTTGGTGGAGCATGTCATCTGTCAGAAAACACAATTCTTCAGTTTTTGCTTGACACAAGGTGGTTTTTTTGGACACCAATTTTGGTACTCTGTTTTTTGGCCGCTTTTGGGGATGGGGGTCAGGGCTCTCTTGGCTTTGCCACAGGCGACCTGCTAGTTTCATAGAACTGCGGCTTCACCTGAAGATGAAGATCCACCGCCAAGAATAAGAATTGGATAGACTTGGTGTTGTTTCGCTACAAGAAGAATCATGCACCGTGCCCTCAGACTTCCGTGGATGCGTGTGGCGATGGAGCACGCCTCCTTTCCGAAGCCATTTAGGCCTCCTTGATGCCAACAAGGTGGAGTTCGCTGCAGTTCGCCCAAGCGGGTCGAGGGTTTGTGGTCCATCAAAGAGGCAGACACAACGAGAACATGGCCAAACCATGCCGACTGCATCGGGCTTGTCATTCCAGAAAGATCAATGAGAATGACGCCTGCAGGCAGCAAAGAGTAGCCTGCTGTAGATATCAATAGGCCCGTCTCATCCTCGAATGCGGAAGCAGGGAACATCCCCCAAACCGAGGGTGACGCTTGGAGTCTGCTCAAAAACGGCATCACCAGTTGATCAGCTTAGATTCCAACAGTTGCAGCATCCACAGGTTTTGCCTCTTCGCTTTGGCCAAGCCGGTCGGCTCACTACGAGTGTCTCAAGAAGCGTTGTTTCCAATGAGAATCAATGAGAACTCTCAAAACAAATGCTCATCCCCAGCACCACCCAAGTGTTTTTTGGGGATGAAACATGTACCTATTCGTAAACCACCTGAAACAGGGTGCTGTGTTACACCAACTCTTCCCATGTTGGGATCTCCTCTTTGTGGGTGATCTTATTCTGTGCCCACAGTCGTGGGTTCCAAATCGCTCATGATTCCCAGACCGGTCGCGGCGGGAATGCGCGGTGGTCTCGCCCCATGGCACACGTCGTCTTTGTGGCCTTGGGCTCTCGCGGCGACGTGCAGCCGCTGGCCGTGCTGGCCAGCGCTGTGGCCGACGTTGACGCCGTGGCACAGGCACGGCGGGGGTGAGGGCATAGGGCGGGTGTGGGCGTTGTTGACTGCGCAGGGGTGGCTTTTGCGGAGCTTTAAGGTCAATGAAGTAAGGCGGGCGAGCCCAAAAGCACACGGGTCAGACGTTCTTGACGGCCAGGCGGCTTTGCAGTGGCCAGACCCTAAAAGTAAGGAGAATAGTATACAACCATTGTAGTTGGGAGTGTGACAGATGGGAACGTTTGCTTTTCTGGTATGTGATCTTCATGTGATCTTTCGACCCGAAGCGTTGGGAGAAGTGCTTGGTGAAGCGGCGGGGATCAGCGGGGATCGGAGCGAAAACGTCGAAAACTCATATTGTGGTGGGGTGTCCCCAAAGAGGTAGAACCCTTTTTTTCTACTCGCATTTCTCACATGATATCATGGGGATCTACTTTTCTATCCTATTTTGGGGGGAGTCTATAGATACTCCCTGGAACTAACATCGAAGTGCATGGCATGCCCTCTTGGAAGACCATGTTCTGAATACCAAACAGGTGGTGAACTCGACTTCCATGTTGCTTCCATGGAGAGTACATGTTTGAACTGTATGGTATTTTTGTATGTATTTTTCCCAACACAAGTTCACCAAATAGATGGAAACCTTGATCCTTATTCCCGCACAAAGATTTTTGCACACCCAAAGGTTTGGGAGAACCTGGGGCTACTTTCAAACCTGGTCCCAGAAACCTCGGTAAGAGTAATGTCTTTATATAACTATATATCAACAACTCCATTGCACTGCCTTAGCAGGCCATGGCGTTGAAAAAACACACGTCGCGCTAGATGCCAACTCCAGGCAAAGAGGTCAGACTGCACCTGTACCAGAAATGAAATTATTGACATGGAGACTTCAAAGTGGGCAGGTGGTGACCTGGCAGGTGACCTGGGTGCTGGTGACACTGGCGAAGGTGTCCAGGGGAGGTTTCGTCACCACCCACTTTCAGAGACATTCAATTTCTTCAAAGAATCGGAAACACCTGGAAACCCAGTCCCCAATCCCGAACCAGTTCGTTCCAAGTTCTCCAGCTTTAGCGCTGGCGAGATCCTTTACATAGGAAGTGGGACTGGGGAAGCATCCAAGTGTTTCTGGCTGGGTTTCCAGGTGGCATAGGCCCTGAAAAGATCATTGTTCGAAGACCAAACAGGGTGTCTTTACCACCCCATTGACCCCTCATGGCCCTGGCTGATCGGTAAGCATGCCAGTCCGAAGGTCTGGGTCTGATTGGGTTTCAACCTACTAGCGATGGCCTCCAACCTAAGAGTGATAGCCTCCAGGTCCTCCAGGTATAGACGGGTTTTGTGCCTGAAAACCGCTTTCTGTTCGAAAAAACCGCCGCACCTCTTGTCCCGCGCCGGCTTCACCAAGTCTCGCAGGTGTCACTGGTGAGTCATTCCGAGCTTCAGAAGCTCACTGAGGAGCTGGAGAGGTGAAAGCTCGAGGGGAGCTGACTCAGTGTGCCAAGGTCCTATGGTTTCAGGCCCAGCGTCACACTTAGTAAAAAGTGCCCCATGCGAACTGGAATCTGTGCCGATCAGGCCAGGGATGATGTGTTTGTTGATTTTTTAAGGGGCAATTCGATGATTTGGAAGTGGAGCCCAGGTTCCGTGGCTTTTGGGCTTGTCCAGTTGGCCCACATTGGCCTGGATTGGAAGCCAAGCCTCAAGACATGTGGAACTGGTGAATGGTGAGAAGTTGCGTTGTGGATGTTTGTTTAGGTTTGAAAAATCATTGGCCAACTTGTTGCAGGGAGGGTGTACACATGAAATCTCTCAGTTAATGTGTGGAGATCCCAAATTCATGGGTTCCGAGTTGAGGTTGCGAGGGATGCTTGGAACTTGGAACTTTGAAGAACCCCGAAATGGGTTGAAGAAGTGCATGTTACGCTCTGGTGTAGATTCTATCATATTCTATCCATCTTTGTGTCGGTCTGACGGTCTTACCAAGGAAACACAGGAGCACCAGGGAGGGGTTGACACCATAGACAAGGCAGAGTTCGACCGAGAGACATTGAAACTCAGAAGCCTGAGGTACATGCACAAAATAAAAAAAACACATGCTGCAAAGAGATCCATGACTTGAGATCATATCAAGTGGCGGCACATGTGCACTCTGACTCACATAACATGCTAAGTGGAAAGCTGGCCATTTGTGCAGACCGTGTTCCTCTACAAACAGGTGGTCGTGAAGCGACCGCCGTGCCCCAGTCGAGCGACTAATTCCAAGCCAAGCGCGGTTCGCTGGGACGTTTCCGGGGGGGTGCTAAGAAGCTGTATCCTTCTACATCCTAGCATTGACCTAGCCCACCAACGGATAAGCTACAAAACCGTTTGGGAGAATAAGCTCCTGCCAGGACCCACTGTCGGGGTGGTAGACATGGACACCCCGAATCACCTCTTTTCGGGGCTACAAATAGACACCCCTTAGGGGCCCTGGTGCAGGTTGACTGAGGGAGTCAGTGGAGCGAGTCAGTTGAGCGAGATCCACGCCGGTGGTTCCAACCGGTTGGGGTCGTTCCACCGGTTTGAGGAGTCAACAGAGGACCGGTTGGGTGGAAAGACAGCTGTTTGGCGTCTTGGCACCTGTCTTCCAGTTTTTCAGCCAGGCCATTCTTGGAGAAACGAGAATCACTTCACTTGTGGGTCAGGTAGGTCTCTTTTTCCGGATGTCCCTGTTCTTGTCGATCGTGTGCTAAACGGTTGGTTTTTAAAATCAGGCGCCTGGCTTCTGCCTTCGCCCACGCGACATGGCGCCATGGCTTCCCCACCGTGGTCTTCCGCTCCGCTTTCCCTTCGGCGGTGGTTGCTCGCCAGGAGCCGGAGGTCTGGAGCTCCAAGGCGTGGTCCCATCTGTGCGACGCGAAATCGCTGCAGGAGGGTTTTCTCCAGAAATCGTTTGGATGCACCCACGTCCTCGAAGCTTTTGGACAAAGTGAGCAGGCACCGGAAAGGAACTAGTGACAAGTTGGTGGGGATGGGGTGTCCAGGTCAACAGCTGAGGCTTTTTCAGAGCTCTTGCAAGGCCTTGGAAAGCCATAGGGTGCCTGAAGACAACTTCCATTACATATTCCATTATATTCTCTTTCTGGGACCCCCTTTTCCTCCACAAACAAGTGGTAAAGCAGGGCTTCCAGCTAAATATTGCAGCGGACAAGCCATGGACAAGCCATGGGATTCTGACAAAGTGCCCGGATGGTGCAGGTCGGTCGGGTGGAATGCCAACTTGGAGCGATGAAGGGATCCCCCAAAAGACCCCGCCAACTCACACGATGTTCCACACACGTGGTGCTTTAGGTGGTTTGTCCAAATCCGCATCTCAGAGGGGTGGCAACCGTTTGCGCCATTTACTATGAAACCACTTTTGAATGCACCGAAGAACAAGTCTATATAATAGATAATTTGTTGTTTTTGAACACTCCCAAACCCCGTTGCGGAATACAACACCCAGACTGGAACTCATTGGGGATCTTCAGTGGAATGTTTCTTGCCACGCTAGAAGATGACTAGAGTAGCTTGCACATGGTTGAGCGGCCCTATCTCCTATCCCAAATTGTACAATAGGGTCTCGTCATCGGGATCATTAAGGCTTTTCCACGTCTCTGGAAATGAATGTGGCACTAATCCCTATAGACAGAAAAGCCTGCCACCTCGTTTTGCCCCGGAGGTGCTTTGGAGGCCCTTGGCCCAGCCGTGCTTTGTCCATGATGGTCGCCTGAACGCCGACACGCCAGCTCCTGGGACCCCAAAAGATGGGACAGATGGCATGGTTGCACCCTGGAAGTCGAACCATGTATTTTTAAATAGCCTGAATCCCGAGCAACCATCGTTTTACTAAGGAATCTACACTACGATCAACCAGATCAACCATGTTAAACACGGTCTTTGACTTCCAGGGTGTTCTTTTTTTCCGCCTTTATAGGTAGCATCAGGTCTTTGACTTCGAATCAAATCCATATATCATTCCATGTATCAAATGCATGAATGTGACATGTGATGCATGCGGGAATCTGCGAGAGTATTGTACACCAACTGTCTAGCAACGTTTGAGCGTGAACTTCTCTGGAAGACTAGCCACTGAAATGTTCAGTCCCTAGGGCTCCAACCACATCCTCAGAAGGTAGTTAGACCCCCCCAAACCCACCCCAACCACCTTCTCAGGTGGTGGTTGGAGCCCTAGGGAGCGTTGAGCCGTGCTCAACCTTTTGAGAACAACAAAACGTTCGACGACATCCTTTGGCAGGAATGCGCAGGTGTTTACTTGATAGTGGGACAGCTGAGTGAGTTAAACGTTCCAACAGGGATGTTCTGGTCCTTGCGCACGGTGGGTCTTTTTCATGGGTTTGTTGGCCTGCTTTCTGAACAAACCAACCTTTAGTGCTCAGGACAAGTCCTTGCCCCACCGATTCTCACGTTCGTAAGACCAATTCATGGTGATTGCAACTTCCTGAACATCGTTTCTTTCCTTTTCTTTCCTGGTTCCTTCCGCATCATTCCACTCAATCCCCACCCACAAAAACCACAACACCTCATAAAGAAAGTAGAAAACTTCACGCCGGTCGATCTTCCAACAGCCTTTGCTTAGCATTTTGTATGGTTCCCACCCTATCCTCACCAATCCCCGCCTCTCCCCGCCTTTCACCACCCACCCGGGCACCGGATCCTGCCGCCGATTCCCGCGAGCGGCACGCGCCCTCCGTCCCCAGGACGTGCTGGACCTGCAGGGCCGTCGCCGCGCCGAGTGGATCGAGGCCATCGGCCGCGCCGGGGACGCCGACGTCCTGGCGCCTCGGTGGAGGATCATCGAGGACGAGAGGTGTTTGGAACAAGGGAATTTGACAGGGAGTTGGGTTTGGCGAGAAGCTGTGAGCCTGGAAAAGGCGTGGTGTTCTTTTTTCAGAACCTAGCAATGACCCACAACATGGGCACAAAACATCTTCAACCAGCAGTCACAAAGGAGTGCTTAATGGAGGTTTGAGGTGTCCATTATCCACTCACTTAGGAACTAAAAACCACCCCTTTGTGACTCCTGGAAGAAGTTGTTGTCCAGCTGTCTTCCCATCGTTTTCCCGGTCTCGAGGTGTGCAACCTCTTCGCCATGCCACCGGTCTTCCACCTGGCCGAACGTCCCGCGGCGCGCGGGACGTCCCGCGCTGGGACGGTCGAGGAAGAGAAGACCACCCAGAGGAAAAGTGGACTGCCTTCCCAACCTTTTTTGTTTGGAATGGGTTTCCCCACTAAACAAGACGGAAAGTGAACCCTTATTGAAACGGAGGGGAGTCGTTTCCAGCGCCGCTTCCTGCGTCGTCGGGATCAGTCCCTGCCGGTGGAGGGAACCCGACCCAGGGCGACTTCGCGACGGTGCAAGCTGCAGGGAGCGACGGACGCCGTCGCTCCACCAGAGTGGCAAAGAGCGATGGCCTCCACCCTAGTAGCGTCCTTGCTTCTAGTCGTAATGGTCTTCAATCTACTAGCGATGGCCTTCATATATATATATATATGCATGGAATTCTCGAAGCACTTGCTATGATTCTAGATTGGTGATATGATGTGATATGATAAGATCATCGCAGGTGGTGACTTGTTGCAGAGTCCGTAGGTGGAGCATCAATCGGCTAGACAGACTACGGTTCCGTCGTCCAAGTTTGACCACCTGCAGACGCTTCCGTCGCCCTGCCAGTGTGAAGAGGAAAACCCCTTAAGATGTTGCACCCACTTGCAGGTCGCACCCCTACGTCCTCAGTTCAAGAACCACTCCCACGGACCCGGGAGCCGGCGAAGTCACTGCTTTCGAGTTGACCGGACGAACTCCGGAGAACGAGAGGTCGACCGGCGAAGCAAACAATCCGTTGAAGGGGCGAACGTGGCTGCTGAGGTCTGAAGATTCCGTGGATTTGCTGCTCTCCAAGCCTGTGCCTCAGCAGCAGAAAGAACTCGATGGGGCGATCTGAAAAGAAGGAAGAAAGGCTTGGCCTTGGCTGAACCATGGGTGAAGATGGTCCGGAAGCACGCCCACGGGTCGTCCGCAATTCCGGTAAAGGGGCTTTCACCGAACATGAAGAACCCCATGCGCCAAGCTAGTAAAGGACGCTACTAGGTGGAGGCCATCGCTACTAATAACAAGAAGCTACTAGGTGTTCCTGGCACCTGGCCTTACTACTAGCTAGGAGCAAGGACGCTACTAGGGGCTTCAGGCATGGCTACTAGGAGCATTCTTACTACTATAGTAACAAGAAGCGACTAGAGCATTAAATAAAACTGAATTTATGCAATTGGCACGGTTTGGACTGGGACGTGGGTGTCCTCGGGCTCGGCACCTGGTCACCTTCGTGAGGATCCCGTATTCCATGCCTGAGACCTTCGAGCAGGAGCTGACCGAGAACATGCCTGACTTAATGGAGGCAACGGGCGGCTGGACGGCGCCGTTTTGGTGAACGCGAAAGACCTGGGCGAACGCCAGTCCCAGCGGATCCAGATACCACCTATAGCTGGTAACCAGTGGTTCCAAAATGTTCCAAAGACACCATAGATCGACCTAAAGTCCCTATAGTTTATATAGTGGTCAGTATAGTGGTCAGATGGGATAACTGGGATCCACTGGGTGTCGAGTCTTTGGATGTGATAACTGGTAACCTCAAATCTCCGAGACGTCCTAGCGGCCGGTGGGTCCCGTTATGGCCAGTGGGGAGTCCATAGTTAGGAAAAGGGGGGTCTTTGAAAGGGTGTAACAAACACACAGCAGCCTGATTTTGCACCAGCTGTTCTGGTTGGTGACCTTGAATCTGAAATACTCTCGGACTCTAAGATCAATTCCTTCGAACTAGTGATCCATCAAGGCATGTAAGACGTGGCCACACTGCCGCGATTGAAAAAACGTGTGCCCCAATCCATGATCGGCCACGCCTCTCTACATGTGATCTCACGGTGCGAGGAGGTGGTTTCCCCGCTGGTCACTGGTCGAAGATCCTTCGATCAACCGTTCACAGACGTCCAAGAATGCTCCTAGTAGAAATGCCCTTTGTGTGGGGCAGGGCACTTTTGGATCACCAAGGAATCCCATCAATGTTTTGAGGGTTACTAGAAAGCTTCTTGTTACTACAGGTGAAACGATTCCCAGTGAAACGATTCCCAAGGAAGCTTCTAGTTACTAGAAAGCTTCTTGTTACTAGTAGGAATGGCCTCCAACCTACTTGCGATGGCCTCCACCAATCGATCGCGTCCGAGTGACGCAACCCGTTCGTAGCATCGACCCGTCTTACCGACGGGGAGCGACGCGGCAGTGACTGACTGTACTGCCGCTGTGATGAGAAGTGGCACTTCTCATGTGGAACGACGATGGAAAAGCAGCACGACCTGATGTGCACCCGACTTCAGTGGGGTCAGCAGGACCTGCCATTTGCCCAAGAAGTCTCCAAGAGCCATATGCAAAAAGACCTGTTGGTTGGAAGGTGCTTGGTATAGAAGGATTTGGGCCAAAAAAAACGGGCCCTACTATACCAGGCCTTGATTGGTTTCTGGAATTGAGCCTGTTGGATGTGCCTGGTATAGTATAAACATTAGGAACCCAATTGGATCGTTCCAAGCATTGGCCTTGATAGACGTCCTGCTTGCAACCCTTTTTGGTTGGGAGAATCCTGCTCAGGAGTGAAAAAGGTTTGGATCGGTCTTTTGTGCAGGGGCAGCGTGTCAATGACAGCATGCACGTGTTTGAGTACCATGAAAAAGAGATAAAGATTAGAAGCGAGGCGAACCCAAGGACGGTGAGAAACACGAGATCTCACTAGGGATGTAGGGACTCAAACTATCAATCATCCCCACTATATGATAGGAAACAGATGGAAATCGATCAGATCCACCATACGAATTCCTAAAAACCGCATTTGCTTCTGGTCTCCTGAAACGGTGCGATCCGCCGCGGATTCCGAGATGGACACCATTGCCAGGTGTTGAAGAAACGTGATGAACCAGGAGATGAAAGCCTGTTCTCCTGGAGCACAGTGCCACGGCGTGTTTTCGTTCATGGTTTTCCTTCGTGGTTCCTTTCCGCCACGGGGGTTGCGGTTCCTTTCCGCGTGGACGGCGATCCAAACGGAGAAAACATGAGGTTCTGTGGCACATCGGAAGATTCCACCCAATCGCCCCACCTCCAGAGGCCTTCAGAAGGGTTGCGATATGTTGGGATGGTTCGGGGAAGACTCACACAATCACACTTAAAGTCCACAAAATCTTCCTTGAAACCAACACTGGTTCCTCATCGAATCCAGAAATCCAGTTCTCCAGCCAGACAAACCATGTTGAGAACTGTGAGAGCGTCCAAAAGACGGATCGCTTCGACCAAAATGGGACGATTGCTTCCACACAGCGTCTGGGGGGTTCAGATTTCTAGGTCTTGTGATACTGTCAACTACTTATAAGGTCCGGCGGATTGGGTGCACCACTGGAGGCTCGGAATTGGAGTGGCTCAACGGTCTACGCAGGCTCTTCCCAGGGTTTTCTCTAGCTACGCCGGGATGGTCGTTGAGTTCATGTTTGATGCGGCCGGGCCGATGGATGGCACGTTTGGGGCGTCTTTGGGGGTGCCAGAGGATCCAGATCTTCTTTTCCGTCTCACCATGGGTTCAAAGTCTTGCTTTGGGGACATGAATCATGAAGCATGTTGGACATGTCTGAGGAAATGCTGTGTGATGGGCTGCCTCCACCCCTGCAAGACATGTTGTGAGTCCACTCTCCTTTGGTTGATATCGGTTCTCCCAGCTCTGGAGCAACCGGTCTCCACCGTGAGGTCAAGAGCTGGATGTGGCCAGTCTTCACCGAGAGCCATGCCATTCTCAGAGAGGCCGTCTCGATGTTCGTGCTCAGAGAGCCACGTCCGTGCTCGGATCGTTGCGGGGAATTGGTTCAGGAAGCCTCCAGGGAAGCTGAGGCCATGTTTGTTGCTGTTTGTGGTCGGTACTTGATACACAGAGTTGGCCCCATATATTGTTTACAGAGGACATTTTGAGACGAGACACTTGGTGGCAGAGAGACTTTTGCAGAGTGTTTCTGTTGGGGCAGCCTTCCTCACAGGCCAAAGGTTCACCGAAATCACGATCAAATGTCGCAGAAGGCCTCCCCCCCAATGTACAAGGAGTTGTGAGCAGGCTCAACGTCTTCCGTCATAGAGTCATACGCCACTCAGAACTTAACCCCTGATTCCAGTCGGCTGCTTTTTTTGGAAAAGAGCCGGATGTCCGCCACCACTTGGGAGGTATTTAGACCATATAAGACTACACTCGAAATAGTTGGATATGATATGATCTCAACAAGAATTACAGCTCCAATACCGCCTGGAAAAACCACCTCAACAAACGAACCTCCAAAAAAAAGACACCCGCCCCAAGGTTCGTTCGCCACGCCCGAACCAAACGAAGAACCCGGGCGCCGCACCGGGCCCCCGGCAGAAGGAGTTCTTGGGCCTGCCGCCGGTGCCGGGCGACCGCGCCGGCGACGGCCACGACCACTTTGCCCCGGAGACCTTGACGCGCGGCCGGTGACGTGAGGGACGGTGGAGAGAAGCGGCCAGGACGTACAGAATGGTCATGAATTGAGGGGTTTTAGAGACTTGCTCATTTGAACATCAAATCAAGTCGGGGCTCCTGGCCTTACTACTAGGAGCGATCGGACGCTACGATCGGGGCTCCTGGCCGTACTACGAACGGAGCGATCGGACGCTACGATCGGGTTCTTTCTTTTTTGAGGGGACAGCAAGAGAACGCCTTCGTCTGCTCGCAGACGTGTCTCGCGTGACCTGAAATGAAATGAAATGAAATGGACAACAAAGAGTCCTTTTTTGGGTTTCCCCGGTCGCTGGGTCTGCGGGGTTTTTTGTGACACCTTCACGGCGCCCGGAGCCTCAGGAAGGGCGCCCAGTTCCTTCTTGGACTCTCGGTTGAAGGGGTGGGGAGGAGATGACCGATGACACCGGGGTCGGGGTGGGTGGAGAAAACCGGGATGTCCTGACCGGGGAGAACCAAGAGGTATGTATATATATATATATATGGTAGCCGTCTAAAAGATCTAAAAAAGGCGGTGTCATGTTTGAGGTAGATTTGTTGGTATTTCATGTTCAGGGTGTGTTTTTTTGAGTTTGTTTTGAAGCGGGACCCCATGAAAATCATGCCAACCAACCAGAGAGAGCGCTAGCTTCGCCCTAACATGTTTCAAGCATGGTTTTTGTGCCAACTTTTCAGATGCAGTATTTTGGGCATGTGGAGACTCACAAACCAGCTTGTGCTTGCAAGTCACTGCCCCCCTAGAGTCGTGCTGCAGTTGTTTATGTGTTTGTCAACGTGTTGAGGCTAAGATATATCATATACACCATGTTGTTGTCGATCTAAAGGTCCTAATAATAGGGATTGTTGATGACAATGACCCTGGAACATATCAAAATATCATGTGGCAAAAGTTGTTCTCGAGTTGGGGAAAGATCTTTTTGCGAAAGATATGGCTAAAGATGTTCTTTCTGCTGCTGCTGCTACTACTGCGCTGCTGCTGCTGCTACTACTACTACTACTACTCCTCCTGCTGCTACTACTGTACATACTACTATTGTACATACTACTACTGTACATACTACTACTGTACATACTACTACTACTACTACTACTACTACTACTACTACTACTACTACTACTACTAC